TGGGCCAGAGAACCATACATATCGGTACGTGGGATGTTTCTCGTCCTGCAATTTCGTGCAACACCCTACTCCGAATCAGGACACTGGTCTCTGAAGCCAAGGGGCCACATGTAGCCACTCAGACGGCGTCCCATGACAGAGGGAAGGACTCCATTGATGGATCATGGGAGATCATGGAGGGTAAACATGGCTGGACAGGGGTGACCAGGAGGCGGCCTGCAGGGCAAAGAGCTGGCGGTTTGGTCAAGTCATGCAATAATGACCCGTACACTGTGAGGAATGTGGTAGCAATGCAGAGCGAGGGGGGTTCCAACTCCGTAGACTAATTCCTTCGTATAAACGACTTGCGTGGAACATGGGTTTTTGTTGGGACAAACGGCGAGTTCGGTACGAATTCCTCGGGTGATCGAAGAATAAGGCATGGAAGAGTCTAGCTGGACACGGGGGGCGGTCCGGAATCCGTATGGGGGCGTATCCCGTGGCTAGCGAGTTTGAAGCGAATTCGAGTCTCTCGAGATGGAGCCTGTTCGGGCATGGTCGGCGAACATACGAAGCATCAAAGATTTGATTCTGTCGCAGGGTGGCATGGGAAAGTGGACCGCACGGATCTAGCGTCCCGCTCCGTGTGGACGGACGTTTGAGAGAGACGGTTGGTCCAAGAATGCCACAAGGCGTGTGAAGCTAAACCACCTTCCCCTAAGCGTGCCTAGACCACGCTAAGCATGGGGAAGATTGAGGGGGGACGCCACCGTTACATTGCATCTTGGATCCGCATTTAGACAGTTGTGGTTGACGAATCGTTGGAAAAGCTTGGTGACCCGGCAACATTCTGCATCGTATATTTGCCAAGCTGGAAATAGCAGTCAGGGCGAGAAACCCGCACCGGAACAGAAGTAATTTTGTTTCTTTTCGAGGCCTCGGAGGTAGCAACGAGGGGGCGGTTTGTTGTTCAATGACTGTTGTTGGCCGTGGCAGCTGCAGCACTGAGATAACAGAGGTCGATGATGGTGTTTGAGTGGCGTTCGGATCAAGCGGGCACCAACAAGCCGTCGTTCGTCACCCACCCTGGCCACCGGTCAGCCATTTCATCGTCTGCTTTCCTGCATCTGGGTCACTAGTCAACGATGAGTCGGCGTAATCTCGCCCAGTTTCCCTCCACTTTCCGGGACGCAAGAAACATTCATCACGTATCTTATCATGAAAACAGGGCCGGGGAGAGAGACTTGCAGTCGATATGTGAAGGTGTTGGCGCCAGTAATAGGTTTTCGTTGCCCCACGATCTTGAATGTCCCGGAAAGATGGTCGAGTGTCGACGTGTGGATGATACTATCGACTGTCGACTTGGTTGGATCGAGACCTTCCTAGCAGGGAAGGAGTCCAGTTCCCCAAGCACCATTGCCAGCCGTGGAGAGTTGAATGTTAGGGAGGCGAAGAAACGAACCCTTCGGCAGTCGATGGCAAATAAATTGCAAGGCCCATGGTTCGGACAGTGTGCCGAGAGTCTTCCAGCCATAAGGCCACGCGAGATGTTTAGAGAGGATCTCGTGAATTGCGTAGGTGGACTAAGGTGGTCCTCTCCTCGTGGGTTTAATGCCCGACCGGGAGCAGCCGCTTCGCTTCCTTCCTTCGTTTGCTCGTGGCTTCAAAGTTCACGGCCCTCGACAAAACTCCCATTGGCAGCCCAGCTGGAGTCGTGGGCCATTTGGAGCAAGAAAAGCGTGTTTGGCTCTTGCTGAGGGAGGGGCGACGGCTCACAGATGATGTTGTCCGTGGGTCATTGGCCTAACCGGTCAAAGAAGAGGCAGGCACGTAGCATCGGTGTGGTTGGACAAGTGGAATCCCAGATGCCTATGAGGGAAGTCACCAGCGACCCGTCCACACCATCTTCCACCAATCGTATCCGGCCGGATGTACCTTTTGGGACCCGCTGTTAATGAACTTTCATTTCCCCCATATTTAATGATGTGCCTAGACCTGACCCAGTAACGGCATGCACCACAGAGTGACTTTTGCCGGGCCGAACACGCAACCTTTGAGGTCCTGCCATCCACACCTAACCAGAATGGAACATGATGGTTTCTGTTCGGTTTCGTTTGTAAATCGAACCAAGACTCCCACCAAGCCTCTCTGCGGTGTATTCTTAGCTGCATTGACTGATCAAGTACCTGTCCGAGCGGTGGGGGGTTTTTTTTAAATCACTCTTGACAAGGGTCCCTCCATCTTTGTCATGGCTTCTATTGATAGTCTTAAGTCTCTTGACTCTTTTAAGAAGAGCTGGGCAGCCACCTTGCATCAAAATGATGACAGTGATCGCCTCGATGGATACTGAAAAAGACAGAAGATGGTGTCTCTGTAAACTGCAGGTGAATAATCTCGCCTGTCCTTGTCCTCACCTTGCTTGAGAACAAGATGCAACCTTTCGGTGAACTCGACCGCAACACCACGCATTTCCTGCACAACAGCCTAGCAGAATGTATGATTTAGCCACTAGTTCCTCGTCAAATACCTGAATATATGCCGAAAAACATCTCGTATGGCTTCCCAGTGGTGCACTTCTCTAGGGCAAGATACCTCTACCCCGGCACGTGGTCAAGCCGGCAACAGTAACCTCCGACCAGCTCGATGGGAGCAACAGCCTCTTAGGTCCCACGATTCTGGTTCAGAATTATACGAAGCTGCATGTCAGATGCACGCCTATTGGTAATAATGTTGTTATATTGGCTCTCTGCATAGGTGTGCCGACCTCATGGGTTAATTACGATTATGAGCTGGCATTGGTTGACATCCTGGAATATGCCGGACTGCAGTTCACACGTGTAGTGGTGACTTCAAGACAACCTGCAAGTACTTTGGACCGGGTTTTTCGAAGAGTAAGGGACATTTCGGGAACAAGGTTTCTCAACAAGAGGACTTGCAAAGAGATCCCGGGATGAGGGGGCTTTGCTATCATGTTATAGCACGTTTGTGAATGTAGCCGGCCGTTGAGATTACTGTATCACAATCAAGGGTTGAATAACTACATGTAACAGTTAGGTAAATTAGATTTTATTTGGTGACATATCTCCACCAAGTTGCCGAGGTAGAGCCAGGTCTGTAATTCCATCCATGAGTAAAGGAACCAGTTGACTTTGGCCATCCCAAGGAGAATGGTGGAGCGGTCAAGTCCCTCTTGGCTGCTGACTCGCTCTAGAAAACGTCCTGCCAATGGCCCCCCTCGTGCTTCTTCACGCCTCGTCGTTCCACGCCCATGGAGAAGGAGAACAATGTAAGGCGTGAAAAAGACAAATCTGTATTGGGCCGAACCATACCAGGCCTCTCAGCAGCTGTCTTCATCCCTACGCACGATGCAGTTCCAGCCGTCCGTGTCCTATGAACCACCAAGATATGTCAGCCTTTCGCCTTCTCAGTCCACACATATTATCTCAGCTCAACCAAGAGAGGTCGGAAACAACAAACAAGGAAAATTAATGAGATGTGATTACTTACAAAGCCTTGGCCGAGGCACCGGTCTGGGCTCCAAGAGTCGGGGCAGAGGTCGCATGCGTTTGTCGCACAATAGCCGATGGTACTGAAGCTGGGCAGGGTGATCGGCTTGTTGTTGTCATTGCACCACCAAATGGCTGAATGATATTCGCAGCTTACCCGCCCGCAGTTGCCTGGTCCGGGGCCGTTGGTAGGTTGTCCACCGACACCCTGCAAGTACTTGGCTCCGTCATGAATCCATTTAGGTCCGGCCACATCCCAACCGAAAATGTTTTGGGCTGGGTCCATCTTGTCGATGCAACGAATCCTCTGGGCCTTTTCTTCGTGATGATCGGAGGCGTTGGGGTGAGAAGCAAGGATCTTCTTGACCAGAGCCGGGTTGTGCTCGTTCAGGTGGGACAAGACATTCTGGACGGTGCCGGTGATGTTGACGATAGTGCCATTGCCGTAGACGTCGACGCCCCAGACGATGTCCTCTACACCATAGCCAGGGATGGGCGCTTGCACTGGCAGGCCCAGGACCTGTAACAAAATCAGCAATCTGGGTTCAATGTTTGGGTGGGAGCGAACAAGGGACGTACGGGCGCGGCCAAAAAAGCCACCAAGGCAGTAACCATGCACAGCATTTTGGCGAGATGGATGGGAATGATGGTGGGACAATAGTCGCCAAAGAGTGAGAGTCGAGTGGGCTTTTTGACCAGTTTCGGGAGGATATACCGGAGTGTCCAAGAAGATGAGCAGAACGTGGTGGTGTTTCTTTGAAGGAGAGGAGAATGGCTCGCGGATTGAGAAAGGAGGCTTTATAGAAAGAAACGAGCCTAGTGGGGCGATAGACAGATCAGACGGCTGAACCAGCGAGGGGACGGTATTTTCAAGAAAAGATGGGATGATCAAAGTTGCCTGCGGCCTGAGAGGCGCTAAAGGCTGAGATGAGAGGAGGATATCTACCAGCTATTCACACACGAGACCTCCAAGTAATCAGACGAAGCTTGAATTCCAGTGTTTTCAGAGGACAGCTGATACAAAAAATCCCTGACAAACATGGTACGAGTCGCGGGGTCCTGACGCATACACCCACTTCCGTCCCATCTTCACCGGCCCCATGATTTAGAGTTTTGATAGTCACCACACCGGCCACCAGCCGCCTGTTATCTGGGAGGCGGGGCCATAGAGGTGGAGGGAAATGAATGCAGTGGTCGGCAGAAGGCTCAGCTTGGACATAGCTCAAACTCTAAGCCATTATCCCTAGAGGAGGGTTCAAGCCAATTTCCGACCAATTATCCTGGAGTATCCTGGACATCACGTCTCCCTCGCTGGAGGTTGGAAAACTTCCCATCTTGCACTGTGAACCAAGGTTTGCACTTCCTTACACGCCAAAGCCTTGCTTGCCCTTGCGACAGTCTTCATCTTCGTAATTCCTCAGCTAGCTAATAATTTCACTACTTCATTTACTCAACAGAGCAAAGCCAAAAGGGGTTGGTTATAGATGATAAAATGGGCAAAATAATAAACAGGGACGGTCGTGCCCGGAATCGAACCGGGGTCGCCGGAAGGTACTGCTGATGAAGCAATTCAGCTTACAGAGTGATACCACTACACCACACAACCCTTTGATTTCTCGGCATGCGGGGAAGGAAGCTGATTTGGAAGCTATTCTAACGAGGTGCTGCCACGAAATCAGGGTTTTATTGTTGGTGACCAGCTAGCCCAGTCTAACTACAATGGGGGTAGGTAGATCGCTGTTTCGTCGTGTTCGTATTCCAACACACCTCTTATCATCCAACCTCAAGCAGCAGCCGGGCCCTGAAAATCTACCCTCCTTGTTCCATCCAACCCCCTCACGCTCCTCGCCAGCCCAACAACCCCGTCCTTGTCAACCCCAAACTTGACCTCGACGCGCCCCGTCTCAGAAGGGAGGTACGTCTTTGCCGCGTCCGTGGCGCACAGCTCGCCGAGGTACCTCGTCTGCGTACTCTTCAACATCTCGCCCAACCCCGCCATCCTCATGACGGGAATCCCTTCCCGGCGATGGACCCATGTGTTCCATACGCTGATTGCTATTCCCGCGGCGAAGATGATCAGCGGCGGGATAATTAGCAAGAGGGATCTTGCTGGGTCCATTTTGCGGGATTTGATGGTTGATTTTAGGGTTTGAGTGGTTTCTGTTTGGGAGGAGGATGGGGAGGTGGTGGTGGATGTGGCTTGGGCGAGGGCCCCGACTGAGAGCCGGATCATGGACTCTATCCCGCTCATGGTCCATGTGTTTCGTTCTGCGGCTGCCGGGGTGTACGAGGTATACGCCACTGCGGTGTTGGTCTGCGTGGAATTGAAAAACATGGGCTGGGTGCCGTCTACGCTGCTGCCTACTAGGAGTGGCGCGACGGTAAACCAGAGGAGGAGCTCGTTGATGGAGCTCGGTTTCAGGGTGTTGTTTATGGATGAGAGGATTGCGCCCGGTTGGGTGTTGATAAAGATGTCGGGCTCAGTCACGGTGAGGATGTCGTCTTGTGCTTCAATGTCCACTTTGCATGCTATCGACGACGCGCCTGTCGTGTTGCCTAGGATGACGGGCGTCCATTCGCCGCCTTGGATGGTTCCGTTGAAGGCGGCGAATACCAAAGTCGCGGTTGTGCGATGGTCCGAGACGAAAGCAAAGTTGTCGACCCAGACTGTCAGCTGCGGCAGGGAGCGCACCCAGACATGGCTGCTCTCTGCTTTTGCTGACTCGTTCTTCCCGGACAGAGACTCTCTTGTTCGGGTCATGTTGGTCTCAAACGCGTTCCAGAGGAGGCCGTCTCTTTTTCTCTGTTTGACCGGGTGTGGCTGGCAGGTCACAGACGTCTGGAGTTTGATGGCGCTGCCTGAGAAGCCCCCCCGTTGCGCGAGCATCTCCCGGTCGATATACCAGTCTCTGTATTCCGGGAGTGGCTCCGAGGACGGATCGGTTGCCCAGGAGTTGTACTCGGCCATCACGTCGACCATGACTGATGTTGGAGGGTCGGTTTGAGCGTACAGCTGGGTGATGCCTGCGCTCGAGGTGGAATAGTTGCCCTCGAGCTGCACAGGTACAAGTGTCGGTGTAAACGCGTATCCCACCAGCGGGGCTGCGGCGAGGGGAAGAAGAGTGACGACCACTGCGCAAGCCAGCACGAGACCCGTGGCGACAGTCTTGGTCGCCATGAGGGCTCTCGGGGCAGACAAGAGGGAACCACGGGTGGTCGAGAGATAGGCCTCGAGTTCGCTGATGGTGAAGACCTGCCGCGAAAGCAGAGGCCAAACGGCTGCTTCGCACACTGCCAGGGCGGCGTAAGCAAGCGCCACGAGCCCGATGAGAAACAGCAGCGTGATGATTCCCTGAACGGTCCCGAGGTGGTCGATGGTCCAGTCGTCGGCTCGAGGACAGCTTGTCGCCCACGCTGGACAGTCAAGAACCTGCTTGCTTGTCGAGTTGGTGTAGACGATTGCGACGATGGAAAAGATTGTCCCTATGCACGTTGCCGCTGGTATGGACAGGTTCGCGGCGAGAAAGGCCCACCATCCTAGCTGTTTGGGTCGCGGGGATGCTTGGTAGATGAAGTCGTGGTCGGAAGCGAGTCGGCGGACTTCTCGCGGGGTGGGAGACGACATGGTGCTTCTGGTCATGTTGATGCTGGTGTGATGATAGGGGCCCATCTTGGGGGACTTGGATTGGGGAGGTGGATGATAAAGGGGTTCCGAGTCGAATTCTTCCCTGAAGATGGACCGATGGGACCGGCTGCGATTCAAGGATGGGTTGTAGTATGGTGATGCAGACATGAAAGTCGAGAAGAAAGCAAGCAGCACACGCAAAGAAATGGAGGATAGCGGGACAGGAAAAGGACAGAACGAAGAGCGGAAAGTCAAAGCTCGGGAGCTGTGTTGAAAAGAGTAATTCCGTTACTAGAAAGGGAATGGACTGAGAGACAAAGTAGCAGACAAACAGACAACAGGTCCTGTTTGCTGTCGGCATCATTGTCGTCGTGGATCCCCATTTTTACCCAGCAGCTGCCCATCATGACCTAATGCGTTGTGAAAACCAATCATCCTGAATCCATTATCCAAGCAGGAGAACATATGACTGGAGTCTCACTTGTGGCCCATTTGCATTGGCAGAACAGACTGACTAGCCCTGACGACTGCGGGCGAGGGCCCAATTCCCAAGCAACCCAAAAATGGAGTCGCCGTTGTTGGGTTGTTGGGCAGGTCGTTTCTTGGGTCGCCCGTTGAGTCGTTGACACATGCACATGCATGCAGGGCGCTGCCCAATAGGGGTCCTCCCAGAGTGAGATGCAGTGGTTTGTTTTCAGGACCATTCAGGGGTGGCCACTTGTCATTGGTGCTGGCGATGCTTGTCTGTCGTTGATTGAAAAGACTGATAGTGAAGGGCGATGGAAGCAAGCGGTCAACAAAGGGTACAGTTAGCAAACCAAAGAGATTTAGGAAGCCTGAATTGAGACTCAATTTGAGAGAATGAATCCTAACAAATGACTTTGCTGTCATTGGCTGCTTTGTTCGAGACAACCAGAGAGATCAAAGTAAACAAACAATTCCTATCGGCGTCTAATATACAGGCACCCGTCCTCTCATATACAGGCACCGGTCTTCTTATATATAAAGCACTACTCTTGTTGGAATAAATGCCTTAACTGGCTAGAATAGAGGCCTTGACTAGATAGTCTAGACTGGAATAAATGCCTCGACTAGCTTAAATAAATGCTCTAACTAGCTCGAATAAATACTTCAACTAGCTCGAATAAATACCTTGACTGGACTGGAATAAATGCCTTAACTGGCTCGAATAAATGCCTTGATTAGCTCGAATAAATGCCTCTGGTCTGGAAAGTCAAATTGGCCTGGTGCCTGTATGCGATTGAGAGTAGTGGTGCCTGAATATTAGGCGCCTTCCTAATATCTCCCATTTGTAACAACCATAACAGGTATCATAAACAATGAAACCATCAACTTCTACCTGGCAAGTCAAGCCCCAAACCTAACCCTCAACGAACTCGGCAAAGGCCAATACCCGCTCTGATCCTCCTTCATATAAACCCTCAATCCACTCCACGGCACTTTACTCTCCTCCACATGCTGTCCCCCGTGCCCCCGCCTCCCAACCTGGCCCATCCAAGCCCCCCCGAGCGCATCAAAACTCTTCAACTCGCCCCTGGCACCATCCGCGCGCTTAAGCACCCCCCCGCCTTTCTCACTGCCCGCATACGCGAGGATACTCTTCAGAATAGCAAGCATCATCACGCGCGAGGTCTCCTGCCCGAGACATTGATGCGGCCCTAGGCCGTAGTGCAAATACGAATCTGTGGGCCGGGAGAGGTCTACTTTTTCTGGATCGGGAAACGCAGCGGGATCGTGTGATGCCGAGGTTAGGTCTACAAATACTTTTGTTCCTGCTGGGAGGGTGATCTTCTCGGGAGTTGGGGAGGAATTTGGGCTTGGTGTAAGAGGGGTTGATGGGTTGACGAAACAGGGTGGGTAGTCGGATATCGTTTGGGCGCTGGTCGTTTCGCGGTAGAGGGCTACTGTCCCGCGGAGACGGGATCCTTCGAGGAGACTTCACAAATGGTTAGTCACACTTGTTGCCAAATACTGGGTGAGCATCAAAAGGGAAAGGAAAAGGAAAAGGAAAAGGAAAAGGAAAAGGAAAAGGAAAAGGAAAAGGAAAAGGAAAAGGAAAAGGAAAAGGAAAAGGAAAAGGAAAAGGAAAAGAAAACTCACTACTTCATCAGCATATCATCCGCCTTCTTGGTCTTCAGCCCAGCAAGTCTAATCATCTCGCCCAAATGTTCGTTCCCCTCGCCGAGGTAATAATCCAGACACTGAGCAAGCACCTGCGTCTGGTTAGCTGTTCCCGCACAAGCCGTCATCAGAATCGACCCCCAGACAGCCTTGTCCACCGACCCGCCACCAGCACGACGCACAATCCGCCCGATCAAGTCGTTCCCAAAGCTGGGCATGGTAGGCTCCCGCTCAGCCTCTCCGCCATTGAAATGGACCGCGCCAGAGATGGTCTTGGCAATATCAGAGAGGACACCTGCTTTCGCGTTCAGTGTGATCAACCCGCCCAGCTGTTGCGCGAGCTTCTGGGCTGTCTCGCGGAGTTTGAAGCTGTTGGCTACGTCGCCGTCGAAAAAGATGCTCATAAAGATGGCGCCCAGCACGGCGTAGAGCTCGTGCTCGGTGTAGATGCCGTGCGGGGTGGAGGGGGTCTTGATGGGCAGGCTGAACATGGCGGCCATAGCGTGGGTCGTGGCTAGGCTGATGACGTCCCTTACAATGTCGACTTCGTGGACGAGACTCAAAGGTTCTCTTGCGCCGCCTGCCATGAACGGGATGGTGTATTTGTTGAACAGCTGGGTGGTTTTGGTCTCGCAAAAGGCGCGGACCTCTTCGGCCCAGTTGGGGGGGGAGTAGAGGGCTTTGGTGATTTGGGCGCGGTTGTCCTTGTTGATGTCCTTGTCGCCCGCGAGACAGAACATCTTGCTGATGTCACCACCGGCTGGCTGGGTCGCGTGGAGGATGGACTCGTCCCAGACGACTCTAAAGTCCTTTGGGTTGGACAAGATGGTCTTTGCTGC